AGACACTGTTGAAGTGAATATTGATTGAATCTTCAGGTTGATGAACTGAGGGGAGAGGATTATAGTATTTATAGTCCTTCTCAGATGCAGAAACAGAAAGTTCCTCATCCAGCAAAGCAGTTATTTGGCTAGCAGCTGGTGTACAGGATTTCGTAACTTTCAGGCCCTTCCTTATGCCGTGCCTTTTTTCCCTTTTTTTTCCCCCAGCTTAAAAAAAATCACTCTTACCATTTCCAGAAATATATTAGTTTTCTTTTTTGTCAACTATAATGCCATGAGTGATCCAGATGAGGACAAAATGGTAATGTTTCTTTGAGAGCCTTTACAAGGGGTAGAGGGGAAGCAACAGTGAAGTAAAATGGGGAGGGACACGGGACACCAAAACCGACAACAACGGGGAAAAAAACAAAAAAAAATCAATACTCAAATTTTCATAAAATTATTTTTTATCTGTATACTCTACTGTAAGAAAAGGGAAGAGGAGAGGGAATAAGAAACTATGATATGGAAGAAGTGCTAGTCTAAATCACTTCCAGTGCTTTTTTGAACAAACCATCAGAATAGCTCCTTGCATATATTACCAGCCATTAATTCTTTACATCTTACTGCACCAGTGCAGAGACTGGGTTGTTACTCCTTATGTACTTGTCCAAAAGGAGGATGACCTGGAATTACCCATTGTGTAAAAGAAAAGCTATTTGCTTTTCAAGGTGTTTTTTCACACTTCAGAACATCCTGCAGAGCAGCAGTGGAATTTGACTTGTATCCTAAAGAGACTCTCACAACTGTAGGAATATTCCCTTCAATAAGGGAGTTTTATTCCTCTTTCTGGGGAAGGGAGGAGAAATCTTGTTTCTCATCAGTTTTTACTAGATCTGCTCAGGCTCATTGTATTCTCAGCTTTTAAGTGATGAATGACTGCTCTGAGATAATTCTTTAGATGTTTCCTTAAAAAAGATACACTTTGTGATATTGTTTGTATCAAAGGTTTCCTTTGCAGGAAACTGGAAACTTCAGTTACAAAGCTCCCCAATCTTGCATCCAAATATCGGGAAAATTGATGCCATCAAAATACTTTGTTTTATTCTTTCCTAATTATCAGAAAACAACTACCAGCAACATGGCAAGATTACTTTTGATGAGAGCCATATGAATTAAATTGCTTAAGCCTACTTTCTGTAGCCTTCTGAAAACCAACTTTGCCATTTCTTGCTGTCTTACTAATTTAGCCATACCTCAGAGTGGAATTTCTTTTTGTATGCTGGGACTTTAAAGATTTTGAATTCTGTCTGCTTTTCCTTTCTGTGGACTTCCTTGGGAGATGGAGAACAGGATGTTGGGAATTGTGGTTTTCATTATTTTTTCAGTGGAAACATCTTTTAGATTTTAAGATTCTTTTTGATAGCGAACATACGCTTTCTTTCTCCCAGCTTCCTACTTACTTTCTGCCTGTGTCCAAGAGAAGTACAGTTTTGGGTTTTTTCTGTGGTGGTTTAATTTCTCTTCCTCGTGACTGATACCTATATGTATGTATATATGTATTATATTTTAAAAAAATATAAGAAAGACTCTTCTCTACAACTTAAAACTTTTTTTAAGGGTCTATTTTGGGGGCTGGGCTATTAAGGAATTCCCAGTTCCTTATGAATTCAGGGTTTATTATTGATAGCCAGGTTAGTTGCCAAGTCTCATACATGCTTGTAACCATGCAACCACATATCCAGATTTCTCTACGGTCATGGGACCACGTGGTATTCCATAGAAAGGTTGTAGCCAGGAGCAGGCTGTTTCTGTGGGAGCAGTTCCGATTTTCCCTTTCCCTTTGCCTTTTGTAATTGTCCTTTGGAAAAACAAGTGCCAGGAGCGAGGTCCGTCCGTGCACTTTTATTGAGGCAGTGTGGTATAGTTCTGAGCATGCACAGCGAATTTTGAGTTTCTAATCCTGAGCCTGGACTTAAAGTGCTCATTCAGTACATCTTACGCTTTCCAAAAAGCTTGCTCACAATAACTCTGTTGTTAGAGGGAGGAAGGTCAGCTGCGTGCAGTCCCCTCTTGCTGAAAGAAGTAACTAGAAAGGTTGACCGCCTTTGATCTTACAGTATTGATGCCTTTAGGGACCTTCTGTAAACAGAGTATCCACTACTTAAATTTAAAACTTTAATCCACAGACTGAAAAGTGAAAGACCTCAGTTTGAGTTCTCCAGTTCCAATTCACAAATATTCTAAATGTAGTTGTGTATGTCATGTTATATACATTACCTGAATTTAAGAGGAACTGTGGCAGGACCAAACTACTAAATAGATAATTAATAATTTTAAAGGCCTGATCTACAAAGGTGTAAATGCAAGGATGAAAGCTAAGTCACTTCCCTAGTATTTAGCAACATGCACTGTATTTAAAAGATCATCACCTTACTAGGTAGAATAAAGATTTCAGCCTTAATTGCGAGTTGTGTTTAAAGGCCTGTAATAGTCTCTGGATATTACTTTGTACAAGTTGTTTTCTCTGTATTTTAAAACCAGTTTAATGAGGGAGGGTTGCTCGTTTGAAGACTTAAATTGCAATTTTTGTTTAGCATGTCTGATTTGAAGATACTGCTGAAAGCCAACGACTGTCCTCATAACGAGTATTTTTCTAATGCATTAATGATGAGTGTGAAATACTGAAAGGTAATTTTGTAACGAAATGTGAACAGTCTCATAGAAGCATATTGTGCAGAGGCTTTTCTTAGACCATTCTAGTGTTCTAAGAATGAAACTATTCTGTCTTTTGTGATTGGTTCTTAATACTGTCCTCCCAGTTGGCTGGCTGAGATGAGAACTGCAGTAAATGCACTTTGGACTGTCACTACTTCTAGATGATTTCCCTACGTGAACATTGCTAAATATTCACTTTGTGCATTAATGCTGAAGTTACAAGCAAAATACACTAGCTCTTGGTAAAATAATACCAACCATTTCTAATTCTCAAAAGATTCATGGGGGACATGACCTTTTCCAGAACTAAGGTTACTCTTCCGTTAGGCACGCTACATCAATTTTAAAACATTATTGATCAACGTAAAATGTAGAATAAGTTCTTAGCAAATGGATTTTTTTTTTTTATATTACGAGACCTTGCAAAAGTGCGCTATTAGTATTGGGAGATAGGCTGCCAGGGACTTTGATCGAACATCAGTTATTTGTAAATGTTCGATGAACTTGAAATGTGAAGGTTTTAAATAAATTTACGTTATCCTGGGAGCACTCCTTTACAAGTGAAGCTATCTGACACCTCCCTGTTGTTTGGACTTGCTGTATTAAGTTTCACCACTATTTGGTGTTTGAAACAGTAATGAATTAGGTGATTTTTGGCATTTTGTTGTAGCGCTCTCTTCAGAGTTCACTTCCAGTTCTTTTACTGAAGTAGGCATACAGAAGTAAACAGAGACTGTTGATTTTTACTGGCAGCTTGAAGGCAAACTCTGTAGCTGACGAGAGGTAGGAAGCTGCTGCCAGTTGTAAGCTAAACTTCTAGACCCAGTTCTGTAGTGGTGCAGTTGGCTGCTGTGATACATGAACATTATACAACTGTTTCTGATCTATCTAAAAGATAATACAAGGAGTAAGGCAGTGAAGAATCAAGATCATTTTTTATCTTAATGGTTTTATAACTGTACTCAAACTATTAAGTTTGGCTTAATGAGGCTGACTGACAACATGGTACTTCATTGGAATTTGGAGCTACCTGAAAGCTAGGCAATAGAATAAACTGTTTCATGTAAATAGGTTGTTACGAAGTGTACTGTATATATGGTACTTGATATAATGCTTCATATCGGGCTTTTAGATGTGTTGGTCTCTTTTGACCAGAGATAATTTTTGTCAGCTACAGTTACCCCCACCCCACCTCAAAAAACATTATTAGCTTTTGTGTCTGTAGTGTAACTGTTGGAGCTGTGGAGAATTTAAGTGACTGTACATGATACAGCACCATAGATGATGTGTTCGCTGTCTTTAACTATGTAAGCTGAATAGAGTGATTTATCAAATAACTTATCATTGGAACAAGGGATTGATTTGACTGATTTGCATATGTACAGATTTATAAAACCATGGTGTGATTACTCTGTCAGTGTGCCTGAGAAATGACCTGAATATGTAGATTAATCATAACTATCTCTCTGGTATTGAATTCTTGCTACAGATACTTGTATTTACTTTTTAAAGCTGCATATAAATTATTAGGGCATAAACAAAGCTAACTAATTCTTCACAGCTTTATTCTGTGGTAACAATATACATAGTTATAGTCTAAATGTGTGGTATCTACACTTTGCTTTGAGGTGGGATAACATGTGCCCTCTTCGAGATGGAGAAGAGGGCAGTACATGAAATTACTTTCCCTACCGCATTAGTAATGGCCTTGGACCTATGGAGTATCTGTGGTCAACCCCTGAGCAGTACCTCACCTGCAGACTGCTGTAAGCCCAGTTTGGGGAACAGCTGAGAAAGAGGGCAGGCAGGTGCTAGCTGGTGGCGGCATCAAACCAGTTTGTTCGGGTAGTTGTTTCAGTGCTCCTTAGAACTCAGGAGAGGAACAGCCTGTAGCCAGGATTAATTTGTTGTTCAAGCAATGGCAGCCCACTCCCCAAAGCTGCTCTCCTGCAGGCCCCTCTGCCCATGCACCGTAATGCTGTCAGACATATTCCTCTTACATGATGGGAGACAATCGTAGTTCCCATTCCATCTGAACATGTTTTTCCCAGCATGTACATCCCTTGCCAAGAAGCAGGAAGGAGGACTGTTGCCCCACCAATTCCTCCAACCCACAGTCTACTCAAGGGGATGTTATAAAAGCCTCAGAAAGGAGAAGATGGTGTAACCTCTCCTGGCAGGCAGCAAAACAGACGGCTGATTGAGCACACTTCACCTGATCAGGTCAGATGAAAACTGTACCTGAGCAGGCATGTAAGTCTCTTCACGTGATCCTAATGTGTGCGTGCATGTATCTTTTTCAGGGTGTTGATGATGCCTTCTATACATTAGTTCGAGAAATCAGAAAACACAAAGAGAAGATGAGCAAAGATGGTAAAAAGAAGAAAAAGAAGACAAAGACAAAGTGTATAATTATGTAAATACAATTTATCCTTATTCTTAAGAAGTACTTAAGTAATTTTGTACATTACACTAAATTATTAGCATTTGTTTTAGCATTACTTTACTTTCTGCTTCATGATCCTGTTAGCTTTACCTGAATGCTTGTTTTAAATGACAGTGGAAACTTCATTCCTCTTAAAGTGCCAGTATTCTTTGACTGTTGGTTCTTGAACTAGCAATGCCTGTGAAAGAAAAAAAAAAAAAAAAGAAACAAAAAACACACAAAAACCTGAGAACTGTCTTAGGACTCTTTGGTGCATGCACAGTTGCTAACTTCCTATTTTTCTTACTGATTGTGAACTTCTGTTCTGTGTGCAAACCAAACAATGAAATGATGCTCTACACATTCTAACATCCCCTTTAATTTTTTGGTTTTTAAATCTGGTTGGGAAAAAGGACTAGTTAGCAAAAGAGACTTTCACTTCAGCCTTTCTTTTCTTTTAGACTGACTGCAATATAGAGAGACCAGAAGCCTTTATAGTCTTCCTGTAGATTTTGCTTCTAGGCATCTAGTCTTGTAGCATTTCAGATCAACTTTAATGAATGTAAAGATAATACTTTCACAAAAAGATTTTTCACTGCAATTTGTCACGGTCACTCCTTAAATACTCTATTTTTTCTATAAAAAAAAGAAAAATTAAAAAAAGACAACAATGCACATCTGGCAATGGAAAAAGTAAAAGTTCTAATTAGGTTGATTTGCTATTGTTAATGCATTGCTTTAAGACTTTTACTAACTTTTTGTGTCTGAAGACCAAGGTGAAATCCTAGCTCTCCTGACCCCCAGCGGCAAAACTTTTAAGTAGCTTTGCTCAGTAGGTACAGGATTTCACCCTCAGCGTCTCTAGGAAATACTAGAAAGCCTTAACAGATAAGTTGATTCAAATTCTTAGGTTAATTCATACATAGATCCAGAATTTACCATAAGAATTAAATCAGAATGAATACTAAATTATATAGTGAGTAAAACCGTTCTTTTTTTCCCTAAGAGTGGCATTAAATATTTCCAAATGCCGATTTTGTGCAAAATAGGGGAGGAATTTTAAATTCTAGTAACATCAGATGAGTGAATGAGTTGAATTTAGCTGCTTCATGCAAATAATTTGGAAATCCACTATGCCATAAAAATGGTGTGGAATTTGCACAAACCGTCAGCATAGAACACGGTTTCCAGAGTCAATGTCGTTTGTGTGATGTTTGTGAAGTACTAGTTTTGTTGCACAGATTAAATGGTTGGTGAGTGGCATTCCAGTGTCTAGACTGTCATGAAGCTAGACCAAGATTTTAATGTTGTCTTTCTCTGTGATTAAGTTCTCTTGTGAACTCTCTCCCCATCCCTCCCCTTTTTTTCCTGATTGGAATTAATGCAGAATTTTTGCAGAAGCTTTCATATTTGGTACTGCAGTAGTCTAGTTATTCTGCACTAAAGTAAGAGCCAGTAATTCCAGTGTTGCCAGTTCCTGTTGTCTTACTGTAAATGTTGCATTGTTTGATCGTTTCATTAGGGCCTGGGTTCCGGAAGGTGCACTTCTTCACAGCACCTAACTCAGCTGCAGAGTACAATTTGAAAATGTGACTCTGGTGTACCCGAGAAAATAAAACACAAGACATTGAAATAGGATAGTTCAGGACACTGGAAAGTTTGGAACAGGGAATAGCAGCATTGCCCTAACCTAAGGCATACCTAAACAATGATGTGGAAATTTTTCACAGTCCAATTTTCATAGACCTGTGTAACTTGGACCATTTATATGATGTCAAAGGTGCAACTGCATGAGAAAAGTATTCTTTTGCTTCTACAAAAAAAACCCCCACAGTGCCTCTCATAGGTGGAGAGCTGCAAAGCTGGCAGGGGACATATACTGTCTAGATTGCTGCGTGTTCTTTAATTTCAATGTGGCTGAGAGAAATAATGCCTTTCCCTGCCTGCGCCCCCCCATTTCCCACCCTCCACCAAAACCCAGATTTCCCCCCCCTTTCAGCTTCGATGTGAAATAAACTTTAGATTATGAAATATTCTGAAAAACAGTAATAGGAGAACCTAACGTTATCATAAGGACCAACAAGAATAAGAATAGATTCTTAATGTTGCAATGTCGCAAAACATTTTATAGCTTCCAAGGTAAAAACATTTTGGAGACAGTTATTTGCACATTTTTAGACACTCTTAATTATATATGAAGAACGTAGGAAAAGTGGATAGTATACCTTGAGCCAAATGGGAGTAATCTTAAGATTACTTGAAGATTTTTGGTAACTGAGTCACACTGCATGTAAAATTAGGGCTGGTCTAAAATTCTTACGTTAATTTAACTAAAAACTGTTTGGAGAGATTTAAGCTGCAATGTCTTAATCATCAAATGTGGATTTACATAGCTCTAATGTAAAGCTATATATAAAATAGGGTTTTTTTCCCAGTAAATACGGTCTGTAGCTACCAATCTAATTAAATTAGTACAAAATCTATTTAGCCCTTTTTTACTTTAAAAAAAAAAAAAAAGAAAAATACACATCCTTGCCACTGTTGTGCTGTTTTGTCTTAATATTTGTTGAGATTTGGTGAAGCATGTTGGATTGCAGCTTGCACAAGTCGATCTTCTAATTATTCCGTCTTTCCCTATTTGAAATGCTTTCAAAGAACATCCCTGGATGCTGTCTGTTCTGATAGCAACTACGAAATGAACATGTGAATCACTTACCACGTTACTACATTAAATTGCCATGTGTCAGGGAGTAACACCTTCTTACAGTAGCTTTATGTAACTCTGGTAAACAGCTTTATCATTGGCTTTCTCAAAACTGAAATTGAATTCCCTTGCCCAGTCTCATCACCCAAAAATTTTTGCTAACCTAACATTTCACTGTATAGATCTCGTTACAATAACAGGATCTCTGTAATGGGTAAATAGTGTCACACAATCTTCTGCTCTTGTCTGTACTACGAAGCAATACAATTATTACCTTCAAAGACCATCAAACTGTAAACAAATCATTTTGTCTCTAGTTTACATAAAGCTACATAGATGGTAAATCTTTCCTAACATTTCTTTATTCCACTGTCTTGTGTTTTCATGTTGAAAATACTTCTGCTTTTTCCTCTTGAGTGCCAACTTCTTACTAGAATGACTTCTTAATGTAATATGTTTACCTGGAATGTATTTTAACTATTTTTGTATAGTGTAAACGGAAACATGCACATTTTGTACATTGTGCTTTATTTGATGTGGAACATATGCAGTGTGATCCAGTTTTTCCATCATTTGGTTGCGTGACCTAGGAATGTTGGTCATACCAGACATTAAGTTAAAAAAAGAAAAAAAAAAAAAAGACCACTGTTTGTTTTAAAATTTTTAATGTTTTTAGGAGTACGTGCTGTGAGGTGATCTGGAATTTGTCATTTTTTTGTCAAACTGTACTGCTCCTATTTATTGTAATGTAATAAAAAATAGTTATTGTGAGTTTCTGTCCCAGTTTCCTTTTTCTCTCCAATAATTTCAGCACCTCATGTCTGTAACAGAGCGTCCTGTGAATTGCACGTATCAGGCAGTTGGTCTCAGTTTATTTCTTGTACTTCTTGTTGCCCGTCACAAAGCTGTTGGCTTTGCCTGCTGGTGTTCCCTTCCTCGGGGAGGGGGTGCTGCCACACCTTGACAAAATGCTTTATGGTACTGATCCATCTCCTCTGGTCCCTGCCGCGTTTGCATTCCGCGTCTGCAAGGAGCAGAGCTTTGCTCTGGGTGAGATCGTGCTTCTCGTTTCGCTGGGGTGTGCTGCTTCGCCTGCACCGTCTGCAGTCATAGCCAGAGACCTTGTTTTCCTTAGTCTAACAGCAGACTTTGTGTGAATTGGTCTACAAACTTAAAATACTCTGAAGAGCTACTCTGTGTTCAGTCCCAGGTGCACATTTCTTTTCTTCTATCAAATGCCTTCCATCAACTAACTTACTTACAGAAAATATGAAAGACATTCTTTGGTACTGATTGTCTCCTATGGGGGCGAAAAAAGCGTGAAACTGCTGCTGTTCTATAACTTACACTCTGGATCATCTTTTATCAGTTACTGAGAAGAGTAGGTTAAATTTTGTATACAGAGGTATTCCTTCAGAACAGGTTTAAATGCAACATACTGTAGAAGAGTTAGGTCGATGTGGAAGGACTGGTTTTTACATCAATTTGGTGCTAGAAACCGAAGCACATCTATTTCATCACAAGGTAGCGTATGGTCTAATTTGCCTTAATTTTTTTTTTTTTAATTCCATTCTGGAATTTACATGTGTAAGGACTGTTGCTATTGCCAATAGTTTTACTGCAGTAATTAATTACTTGCCTATATTTCAAAGATTATTTCTGTCCTATCTTCAGTAACATTTAGTTCTTTGGGGGAGGGGGGACCCAAAACATCATACACGCAGAGTATCAGTTCTGGCACAAATTTGTCTCATCTACAGCCAAGACAAGCCAAGGTCTACAGAGTTAGCCATGGAACAAACATCTGCGGTCAAACTTTTCTTCCAGGGGAA